GGCCTGTGACCAGAGGAAGTCATGGGGTGTGATCCATTCAAGCCCACGGCAAGCTCATCTGACTGACTCTTTCTCAGCTCCTTTGTGTCCTACCCTTGGAATTACAGAACTCATTTAAGGACAAGGCATCTATGATTAACAGCAGAGGGTGAAAGGGAAGAGAAAACTGATGAAGCATCTGACATCAGAGGGAGAACTGAGAAACAACAGTGGGGAAAGACTGATCAGACTCCCAGACTGCCTGCACCTAAGGAGCAGGGAAAGTGGGAGGGGGTGTGGAAGGGAGACTAAGGGTTTAGCCAGAAGTGTAGTCGCCATGGTGAGAAAGCATGCATATTAGTAGGGAGAGGGGACGGGATCATTACCGAAAGGGGAGACCCACTCTTACTCCAGTTCCAGAGCTCAGAAAAGCATGAGCGGGGTCAGTGGGGTGGTAGCAGTGATGGGGTGAAGAACAATGTGATAACAGAAGAGGCCGAAAGAACGCAAGATAGGAAATTCTCATGCCAGGAAATCTGCACTGGTAGAGATAGGATTAATAATAAGGAAAAGAGATGGTAGAAAGGGAAAGGGAGGTAGAGACTGTTAACATGAGGGAGACAGTGGCTCTGAACAAGGGAACGGGGCAGGGACAAAGCTGCTTGGAAGGGAGGATGAAAGTACAGGACCCTGCGCTGGACCCCACAGAGAGGCCTGTGACTCCAGGGGGTGAGAGGGGTTAGTAACAAGAGGAGGTGCTAACTGCAAAGAAGGTGGTAGGTATAGCTCGTAAGCACCAAGCAGGACTGCAGGGGATGTGCTAAAAGAGTGAGGTCTCAACTGTCACTGGGAGGGGGGCAGGACAGGAATGGAATGACAGAGTTCCAGGAGGTTCTGGCCCTTGCAACTGGAAGAAGTGTTACTACAGGACGTAGCAGTAGAAGGTTGTGAGAGGAGCAGGAGGGTGTGATGATGGCAAATGCAGCCCAGGTCAGGGGGAGGAAACCGAATGGGAGCTGCCCTGGCCTGCCAGGAAGGGTGAAGACTCCAGAGGAGAGGAGGATATGATATAGAGGGGACGGGGCTAGGGGGCTGGAGCATCTGAGCAGGGGCTAATTTGAAGTGGGGGAAGGTCTGCTAAGTCCCTGTCTCTGGATCCAACAGGGCAGCAGACGCCCTCCTAAAGGCAGTGGCAGCCAGCAGTGTCGCTGAGAAGGCTGTGGAGGCAGCTCGAATGGCCAAACTGATAGCCCAGGACCTGCAGCCCATGCTAGAGGCCCCAGGTGAGGCATGGGAGCTGGGGGGAGGGGAGTGAGGCCCCTAGGAAGCTAGAGAGACTCAGGTGTGGGGAAACAGATGAGAAGCCCTGCAAGGGAACCGGGGATGGGAAAAAACAAGGAATGAGGGTGCAAGGAACACAGGGTGGGGGCCAGATCTGGTAGTCTGGGGAGTGGGACTTGGGAATGTATGCAGTAGGTTAATGGGGGGTTTGGAGTCTGGCAGTGACAGGCTATGAGCCTGGGAATTCCAAAGTCCTGGGAAGTGCCCAGTCAGGAATAAAGCTGCAGCCACTCCAGCCCAAGGCCAGTTAGGCCCCTCTGATTCTCAGCTATCCCTACCCAGGCCGCAGACCCAGGCAGGACTCAGAAGGTTCCGACACGGAGCCCCTGGATGAGGACAGCCCTGGGGTGTATGAGAACGGACTGACTCCCTCAGAGGGATCCCCTGAACTGCCCAGCAGTCCTGCCTCCTCCCGCCAACCCTGGCGACCCCCTGCCTGCCGGAGCCCACTGCCTCCTGGAGGGGACCAGGGTCCCTTCTCCAGCCCCAAAGCTTGGCCTGAGGAGTGGGGGGGGCCAGGCGCACAGGCAGAGGAACTAGCTGGCTATGAGGCTGAGGATGAGGCTGGGATGCAAGGGCCAGGGCCCAGAGACGGTTCCCCACTCCTTGGAGGCTGCAGCGACAGTTCAGGAAGTCTTCGAGAGGAGGAGGGGGAGGATGAAGAGCCCCTGCCCCTGCTGAGGGCCCCAGCAGGCACGGAGCCTGAGCCCATCGCTATGCTGGTCCTGAGGGGCTCGTCCTCGAGGGGTCCTGATGCTGGTTGCCTGACAGAAGAACTCGGGGAGCCTGCTGCAACCGAGAGGCCTGCCCAGCCGGTGAGATCCTCTGTCCCTGCTGTGTGCCCTCTTCTCCCAAAGCCTTGCCTCCCACCCTTTCCAGACCTGTCTGATCGCCAGGGGGCTTTTTATCTCCACTCGGCTTCCTCTGCCTGGCCAGTCTTGGAACACATCCCACCTCAAAAAAATAGAGGGTGCTCGAGCTGGAAGGAACCTTACACGCCTACAAGCCTACTCCCTCATTTGACAGATGGGGGAACTGAGGCCCAGAGCACTTAGAGTAACTTGCCCAGGGTTATAAACTAATAATCAATGGGAGAGCCAGAATATTTTTCCCCCGTTCTCCTTCCATATCATTTCCAGCTCTCTGTTTCCTACTCCACCCCCACCCCCACCTCCGCACTTTCTCTCTTTGGTGCCCAGAAATAAAAAAGGAAAAGATTGTTCCCTCCCTACCCTGACTCTCCCTCCCTCTCCTGGGAAGAAGTTGAAATAGGGAAGAAGGCAGAAAACCGGGAGAGGCGGAGTTTCCCCAGAACCCTCTACTCTGATTGGGCTCTAGGCCTTCTGTTTCCTAGCAACCACATCCTCACCCCTTCATCCCTCTGCGTTGCTGCAGTACTGGCTGCTGCTGCCAATGTCTGCTACTAAGGCCAGGCACCTCCTGCCTGGGACACATGATATGCTGATGGGAGGGGACTAGAGGGAGGAGGTGGAAGGGCTGTCCCTGTATTGAAGGTGCCAGAGGAAAGGTGGGGCCCTGCCTGGGAGAAGACAGGGTTTTGCAATCCAAAACAAATGTTGGCGATCCCCCCGCTCCAGGCTCTGCAGGGAGGTACCTGAGACCCTTCAGCTCTGCCACCTCAGCCAGGGCAGGAAGGTGGGCACTGTCCTTGGGGACTGAGTCTGCTTCCCCCTCTGTCTCTCTAGGGAGCTGCGAACCCCCTGGTGGTGGGAGCCGTGGCCCTCCTGGACCTCAGCCTGGCGTTCCTGTTCTCCCAGCTCCTCACCTGAGGCTACTTCCTGGCCTGGTTCTGGCTTTGGTTGCGTGCCTCTTCACCCCTTTGACCTGCCTTTTTTCTCTTCTCCTCTTCCTGGCTGTGTTTTTCCTATCTTTCTTTCTCTTCTTCCTTTCTTTTCTGTGCTCCTTTGTTTTTTTTCTCTCGCTTTCTCTTTCCCTCTCTTCTTTCAGATTATCTCATTTCTTCTGGATCTGTCTCTGTATTCCTCACTCCCTTCCCCATTCCAACCCCTTCTTTCTCTAGATTGTTTACATATGAAGGGCTTTTCTCTCTCAGAGTTGCTGTCTTCTCTGAGACACACAAATCTAAGTCAGACCATTGCCCCACGCCCTCCCACCTTTTCTTTAGACCTCAACTTCGATGCGGGTGGGGGTTTGGTGTCCTAAGGAGACTCCTGGAAGCTGAATGGAGAGGAGGAGGAAGAAAATGAAGAAGGAGTGATTGAATGTCGGGCAAGGGACTGGCTGCGCCGCTGTGGCTCCCTAGCCTGAGGGGCCTGCTGTCCCTCTGAGGCCTCGTGAAAAAGCTGCAGGAGGTGCATCCTCCACCTCTAATCTTGGAGGCTATTATCTCACCTCCAAGCACTGAGCTGGGTTCCTGCCCAATTCCACCCTTCCCTGAGGGAGAGAAGGGAAGTGAAAAGTAGAATAACTCCCTACCATTTCCCTCTTTTTCTCCTCATCAGCCAACCCCTCCTCCAGCCCCCTCTGGTGGCATGCCATGCCACGAGCAACGTGTAAAGGAACAGAGAATATCCAATGCAGTCAAGTCCACCCCGCCCAGACTTTGCCACTGCCTTCTCCCACCCTTCTGTCTCCCCCACAATAGTTTATTTGGTTGGTCTGGACTCACTTGTGGCCTTTGATTAAATTCCTAAGGGGCCTGAAGAAGACATTTCTACTGCAGAGGGTTAGAGGCACTTGAGCAAGGCCCCCACACCCCAACTCTGGGAGTTGTGGTCGGGGGAGGCACTTCTCGGGGATAGGACCAGACAAGATAACAGGAGCTCACAAGGAAGCAGAAGCTGTGACAAGTTTAGTAGTCTCAAAATGGGTTATGTCCCTTCCCCCTTCACATCAGAATCTTGTGAAATGGGAAAACAACAGAAGGAGGGGATCAAAGAAAGCTGATCTCACATGCTTCCCAGGCAGGGCAGAGGTGGGAGTCAAACCTGGGTGACAGGTGGGTGGAGAGCCCTGTTTGAGGTCGTGGCTGATCCCTCTCTGGCATTAGCTTTTCCCCTGGGAGCAGGAAGCCCTAGGAAGAGGGGACTGTAGGGTCCCCAGGGGATCTTTCCTCCCTCCCCTGCATGAGGCAGAGGCAAGCTGCCTGCCAACCCCCTCCCTCAAGGAATGGCCTTGCCCGGGAATGCCCACCACACATACCCTCTTTTTTTCTAGTCAAACTCTGTTTATTCCTTGGCTTGCCTCCCTCCTTCCTTCCCTCTCAACCTTTACTTCTGATTTCTATTTCATGGAATTTGGGATTGAAGTTAAACTACAACAGTGCCGCCAACACCAAGTCTTGCAGGAAAAAAATACAAAGAAATTTAACAAAAAAAAATATATTAATAAAAAAGTTCAAAAAAGGGGGGGGATTGTCATCTCCTTTGGGGTGCGATGGCTTCAAATCCAAACTGAGGCTCTCCGGGTGGTGAGGATGTGCGAGGAGGCCTCTTGAAGAACTCCAGGCCTGCCATGCTGTCTGTCCGCTAAAGCCTGAGGCTCGAGGTCAGAGGATTCAGGAAGGCTCTGCAGTCGGCCCAGGAGGGCGGGGTCCCGTGGTGGAGGCGGGGAGAGGGAAGGACCGCGCGGATCACCAACCCCTGCTCGGCCCCGTACCAGGAAGCGCTGGGGGGCAGAGGAGCGGAGTTGAGGCAGAAGGCAGGTGAGGCTGGAGTCCTGGGGGTAGGCAGGCTGTCGCTGCCGCTGCCTGAGATGGAAATCGGGGGAGGAAGCTCGCGGAAGAAACAGCGGAGGGTCGTGGAAAGAAAGCAATGGCTGAGCTAGGGATGGGGTACCAGGTAGGGGGAGGACACGGGAGACACAGGTGGGGCTCCAGCGCATGCTCAATAGGGAGGGGCGCCGGTGGGGTGCCGACGCATGCGTAGTGGGCTTCTCGGGCGGTGGGGTGGTCGCGGAATTTGGAGACCTACTTCGGGAAAGGTGAAACGCGGGAGCAATTTTAGGGTACCTGTGGGACCTGGGCTCTTAGGGTCCTGACACAGGACGCGCCTGGGCCGAAAACCCAGGCACGCCCGGCCAGAGAGTGTTTCTTCACTCCCGGACTCTGCCAGTCAGAATGGTGGCGCCTTCGCTGAAGCTTCAGGACCTCATCGAAGAGATTCGCGGGGCCAAGACTCAGGCCCAGGAGCGGGAGGTGATCCAAAAGGAGTGCGCCCACATCCGGGCCTCCTTCCGCGATGGGGACCCAGTGCACAGGCACCGGCAGCTGGCCAAACTGCTCTACGTCCACATGTTGGGCTACCCCGCCCACTTTGGACAGGTACTGGCCAGGAATACCTCCCTCCTGAGCTTGATGAAGGCTAGTGGGGCAGAGTCACAGACTCTCTCACCTGTTTATACCCTGGTTTTTAGAATTCTACAATTTCAGAGTCCTCACAGGCTGCACTGCAAACCTCTTTCCCCATTGCTACCCCTACTGGTCATCAGCCGGCCTGAACCCTTCATTCTCTGGCCAGCCTCATTTAGGGCAGGCACCTCCTCCTTTCCTCTCCCATCCTCCTCAACTCCTAGTTCCTCCTACCCACTAACGCCTGAATTTCCTAAGCTTCTCCTCTTGTTGAAGGGAGAGTGATGAGATAGGATGCCCCACAGGTTAATCTGGTTTTAAAGAGGAAGATGGAACAGGGATGTGAGTGTCTATGGTTTCACCCCTGCCTCTTCCTGGTTTGCCCCCTTGACTATAGATGGAGTGCCTGAAACTGATCGCCTCCTCCAGATTCACAGACAAGAGGGTGGGCTACCTGGGGGCCATGCTTCTATTGGATGAGAGGCACGATGCCCACCTGCTCATTACCAACAGCATCAAGAAGTGAGAGGGTTCTGGCAATCACTTGGAATCAGGGAGATGGGAGAGTAGGGACCTTGGAAATCCCAGGGGACTGCCTGTTGTGGGTATTGAAAAGGACTCATTTTCTCAGAGGTTTGACTGACCGTCCTCCCAAACCCTGCAGTGACCTGAGCCAGGGGATTCAGCCAGTACAAGGCCTGGCCTTGTGCACTTTGAGCACCATGGGCTCTGCTGAGATGTGCCGAGACCTGGCCCCAGAGGTGGAGAAACTGCTCCTGCAGCCCAGTCCCTACGTGCGCAAGAAGGTGAGATGGTGGGACTCCTGGCACTTGCTCCTGCAGATACTGCCTGCTGTGTGCCATATAGTAGTAGATGCAGGGGTCCATCCCCTCTGACCCCTGTCTGAGGCCCCGAACCTCTGCAGGCTATTCTGACTGCAGTGCACATGATCCGGAAGGTCCCTGAACTCTCCAGTGTCTTCCTCCCACCCTGTGTCCACCTGCTTCACGAGCGTCACCATGGTAAGGCTGTGGGGCTCCCCATCCTTTGCTTCAGCTCTGTGGACAGAAGAATTGAAAATCGGATGGGAACACCAGCTCATAGGAGAAGGGTAGCACACACACACAGGCACACACGCAATAGACTCTCTTGCCCCTGGCCCCCACCATTCACTTCCCCGACCCTGACCCCAGGCATCCTGCTGGGCACCATCACGCTGATCACGGAGCTCTGCGAACGAAGCCCTGCAGCCCTCAGGCACTTCCGAAAGGTGGGCTGGTGAAGGGGCAGGCCCTGGGCCTGAAGAGAGGGTCAGTGGGGAAGGAATGGGGCTTTAGCTGGAGAGGATTAGAACAAATGCCCAAAGTTGTGCCCTCCCTCCAGGTGGTACCCCAGCTGGTACAGATCCTCCGGACTCTGGTGACAACGGGATACTCCACAGAACACAGCATATCTGGAGTCAGCGACCCCTTCCTGCAGGTGGGGTGACCTTTTACTGCTGTATCCCTGGAACAGAGAGGGCATAGCAGTAAGACCATGACCAGTGGTCTCCTCCAAGAGAACACTGGCCCTCTCAGTGTCCTGGGCAGCAGAATAGCAGGCACAGGATTGCTCAGGTCATCCCAGGACCTGTGAGGGGAGAGGGAATGCCTAAAAGTCAGGAAAATACAGTTTGGTAACAATTTTTTTTTAAGCCTGTCCTAAACTCCCCTGGCCTCACACACCTCTGTTCCCCTCCCAGGACCAAGGGACCTGTGGAGGTGAGGAGGTGTGGGGAGGATCTAGGGAGCGAGCCAGACCCTCACAGTGCTCTCCTCCATGTTAGAGTTTTCTCCTCAGCTCCATGACTCCTTATCCTATGAACCCCTTCACCTTTCAATTTTCAACCCAACCTCAGGTCCAGATACTTCGTCTGCTTCGGATCCTGGGCCGGAACCACGAGGAGAGCAGTGAGACTATGAATGACTTGCTGGCCCAGGTTGGGGCTGGGAGGAGGGCACTGGTTAGCTGTGTTGCTTGGAGACCCCACCAGCCCTGGGTGCCCCTCACTTGACTCCTCACTGTGCAGTGGCCATATCATTGCCTCTCTGTCTCCTCTAGACAGTGAACTCCATGAAGAAGGGACACAGTCTGTCTTAGTGCTATTGCCCCAGTGCCCAGGCCGGCCCTGGCACATAGTAGAGGCTAAGGGAACTTTGTTGGATGGTTGAAGGCTGGACAGATGACATGTTGGAGTCCTTCAAGAGACCTGAGGATTACCCGGGCTTGTTGGCATGTGCCTGTAGTCCCAGCCACTCAGGAGGCTGAGGCAGGAGGATCACCTAAGCCTGGGAGGTCAAGGCTGCAGTGAGCTGTGGGCGACAGAGTTAGACCCTGTATCAAAAGAAATGGAGACCTGAGGAGGTCCCTGAGCAGATACATCTTCTCTCTCCTCCACTCAGGTGGCCACTAACACAGACACCAGCCGAAATGCCGGGAATGCGGTCCTGTTTGAGACAGTACTCACCATCATGGATATCCGCTCTGCAGCTGGCCTACGGGTATCATCCCTTATGCCTCTCCCACTATGGCCCCGCCCACCACCTCACCCACACAGGTCCTGCTTGCTGGTTTCTTCCTCCTAGCCCCATCATGTTGCGCCATTGTGTTCCCACTCCTCAATGGCTGAGCAGGTTGCTTCTTTCCTGGCTGACCCCAGCTTCTGCCTCTCATAGGTTCTAGCTGTCAACATTCTTGGCCGCTTCCTACTCAACAGTGACAGGAACATTAGGTAATAGTCCCAACTGTCTACCTAGGCTGTGCCACTGATCCCCTGGCCCTCTGCCCTCCTTCCTCCAGAGCCTCCTGATCCATTTCTCTCTTACCCCTATACCCAAGACAGGATGGGGAGTGGGGGCTGATGGCCATGGTGTGATAGAACCTCCCCCATCCTGACCAGGTATGTAGCCCTGACATCATTGCTTCGACTGGTGCAGTCTGATCACAGTGCTGTGCAGCGGCATCGGCCCACTGTGGTGGATTGTCTACAGGAAACTGATGCCTCCCTCAGCCGGTGAGCAGTGATACAGGGGACAGGAGGGCAGGGCAGAGGTTCCCAGTGCCTTGTGGCCAAGACTCGAGCCAGCTTAGAGCAGCTGGAGTAAGAGGACTAACGGGGACAGGTCCCTGAGGAAGCAGAGGGGCTGAGGCATGGGCCAGGATAACCTGGGCTACCTGCATGAAAACCTCTTTCTCCTGCCAGGAGGGCCCTGGAACTAAGCCTGGCTCTGGTAAATAGCTCCAATGTGCGAGCCATGATGCAAGAGCTGCAGGCCTTTCTGGAGTCCTGCCCTCCTGACCTACGGGCTGACTGTGCCTCAGGCATCCTGCTAGCTGCAGAAAGGTGAGGTGCCCAGGAGTCGAAGAGGGTAGAATCTGGGCAGGGTCAGTACCAGGACTGATGAGCCATATATCCCCTAGGTTTGCTCCCACCAAACGCTGGCACATAGACACCATCCTGCATGTGCTGACCACGGTGAGGCAGGGGCCAGTCAGAGAGCTGGGCAGAAGTGGTCAAGATTCACCACACTGACTTGGCCATGCCCACACCTTCCAGGCAGGCACCCATGTGCGGGATGATGCAGTGGCCAACCTGACCCAGCTGATTGGGGGGGCCCAGGAGCTACATGCCTACTCTGTGCGCCGCCTCTACAATGCCCTGGCAGAAGACATTTCCCAGGTATCATTCCCACCTACCCAGGCCCAGGGCTGCCCAACCACACCCTTGCCCATCCTGGGCGGCCTCCTCCTTATACTAGATTCCAATTTTTCTCTCAAGATCACAGCTACCTACATAGTGCAGAAGACATCCAAGCACAGAGCCCTGTTTTTAAGAACATCTGGGCTTTTATCCTGACTCTGGTACCTCCTGGCTGTGTAACTACAGATGACTAACTTCCCTTATGCTCCACGTACCCTGACTGCCTCTTAGAGCTGCCTTGAGATTAAAGCTCTTGTGTTTATGAGGTTTTATTATTACCTTGAATGCTGAATGAATTAACAGATGCCAGGCAGTATCTACAGCCCCCTCTTCCATGTTAATTAAATAGGGTGGGCAGAAAGCATCCACACCTTCCACAAGGGAGGGACCCTCGCACATTTCCATCCTGTGTGGTTAGGCCATGTAGTTCTGATGCTTGGCCACCAGAGGGCAGTGGGAGCCAGGTAACAAACTTCCCTTTCCCCACCCCTCCAACCCCCTCCACCGTCTCTGTACTGCCTCAAGGGATATTACCGTGTGTGGAAGTGGGGAGAGGACCTCAGACACCGGCCCAGCAGTGTTTCTTTCTCTCTCTCTCTCTCTTTTTTTTTTTTTAATAGAGACGGGGGTCTCGCTATGTTGCCCAGGCTGGTCTTGAACTCCTGGTCTCAAGCGATCCTCCCGCCCCAGCCTCCCAATGTGCTGGGATTACAGGCGTGAGCCACCATGCCCGGCCAGCCCAGCAGTTTCTTATTCCATGTAGCAACCACTGGTGCAGGTGGCAGCCTGGTGCATTGGGGAATATGGGGACCTCCTGCTGGAGGGGAACTGTGAGGAGATTGAGCCCCTTCAGGTGAGACCTCACTGGGGGTACACTGAGGAGGGACTCGTCAGGGGGGCAGGACTTGCACCAGGGTCACTAACTGTATCCATGTCTGAAGGTGGACAAAGAGGAAGTACTGGCATTGCTGGAAAAGGTGCTGCAGTCCCATATGTCCCTGCCAGCCACTCGAGGATATGCCCTCACAGCCCTCATGAAACTCAGCACTCGCCTCCAAGGGGACAATAAGTAAGAAGGGGTCCCAGCCCCTTGAGAGATGGCCTTTCACTGGACCCACCCATTTCTGAGTTTCTTTCCAGGCATATATACCCAGCCCACCCTAACCCCAAGCCCTTAGGTTCTTGTTTTTGAGCCAAATCTGGGTATTTCCCTGCTCCGTGGACCTTTCCTTCCTGCCACATTCTGCAGTGGCACACTGCCATTGCCACTTACATACTACACTGGCCCAGCCGCATCCGCCAGGTGGTGTCCATCTACAGGAGCTGCTTGGACGTGGAGCTGCAACAGCGGGCTGTGGAGTATGACACACTCTTCCGGAAGTACGAGCACATGAGGTGTGTCCAGCACTGTGCTGCAGCATGGGACCCAAACCCCTGCCCTCTCCCAAATGCCCTTTTGTAGGTACAAGGGCCTCATCCTCACCTGTGTTCCACATCCACGGTGAGAGCTTCCCACCCACTGTTAATTGAAGCTAAGCTGGCTTCCAACCCTCCTTGCTCATCTGAAAATCAGCAACAACATGTCATTTTAGGAAATCAGAAGGGAACTTCTGAGCCACCATGTGCACAGCGCTCCATGTTCCTAGTCATCATCCTAGATGCCTCTTGTGAAGGGCCCAAAGACCACAGAGGCACACTTGCATTCCATCCTCTCAGGGCTGCCATCCTGGAAAAAATGCCTCTTGTGGAGCGAGATGGCCCTCAGGCTGATGAGGAAGCAAAGGAAAGCAAAGCAGCAGCCCAACTTTCAGAAGCAGCCCCAGCACCCACAGAGCCCCAGGTGAGGAGGCTGGAAACCCTGGGGTAGGAAGACGGGCTGAGCTTCATACCCAGCCCTGCCCCTTCTGTCCCTTCCGCCAGGCCTCACAGCTCCTGGATCTGCTAGATCTCCTGGATGGGGCTTCTGGGGATGCCCAGCATCCTCCCCCTCTGCACCCCTCCCCTGGAGGTGCCCTGGTATACCTGCTTGACCTTCCCTGTGCACCTCCACCCCCAGGTAAGCCTAAGCAAAAAGGAGATGTCTTAGAGAAGGTAGGTGGAAATGTGCTGCTTCTCCTAAGGCAAGGGCTGAGGCTCATGGACCCTGCTTCTTCCTGTGTGTCCCCCATCCCATCCCCATCTCAGGAGGTAAAAGGATGAAGTCAGTCATGGTCACCTGTCTTCCCTTTGTTCCAGACTTCTTTCTCTGGCCTACAGGGCCCTGCTTCCTTCCCAGCCCTTCTTATACCACTTTCCCACTACCCACTCACTGCCCCCTTCTCAGCTCCTCACACCCTCCTACCCTTGACATTTCATGTTCTTTTTTACATGGAATGTTCTTTCCCCAGCACATCGAATGACCAGCTCATTCTCACTCCAGGCTTCAGCTAAAATGTCAGATGCCTTCCCCTACCGCTCCTATTTAAGTCAGTTCTCCCCAGTTATTCTAGAATGACTTACTTCCTTCATAGCATCTATTATGGTCTGTAATTATCTTGCTTATTTTATTTTTATTTTTATTTTTTGAGACAGAGTCTCGCTCTGTCACCCAGGCTGGAGTGCAGTGGCGCGATCTCAGCTCACTGCAACCTCCGCCTCCCAGGTTGAAGCTATTCTTGTGTCTTAGCCTCCCAAGCAGCTGAAACTACAAGCACGACCCACCACACTCAGCTAATTTTTTGCATTTTTAGTAGAGACAGGGTTTCACCATGTTGGCCAGGCTGGTTTCAAACTCCTGACCTCAGGGATCCACCCACCTCAGCCTCCCAAAGTGCTGGGATTACAGGCATGAGCCACCATGCCCGGCCCTTTTTTATTGTTTCTCTCCCCCATTAGACAGTAAGCTCCAGCCTCATCTTCATATCTACTTTGTTACTAGCCTCTCGAGTAGTGCAGGGCCAGTAGGTGTTCACTCAATTTTTGCTGAATGAACAAACATGTTCTCTCAAACCTGCACACTGAGCTGCCTCTGTCTCCCTACTCCAGCTCCCATCCCAGATCTCAAAGTGTTTGAGCGTGAGGGAGTACAGCTGAATCTGTCTTTCATTCGACCCCCTGAAAACCCTGCTTTGCTGTTAATCACCGCCACTGCCACCAACTCCTCAGAGGGTGATGTCACCGATTTCATCTGCCAGGCTGCTGTGCCCAAGGTTTGTCAAGATCAGGGTTCAGAGGTGGCCTGGGGACTCCAGGAGAAAAGGCCACTAAGTGGAGGTGGTGGGTGGGAGACAGTGTGAGATGCGATTGAGTCATCTGGATATCAGCACTTGGGGAGTTACAGGAAAAGGGTGTGGAGCCACTGGGTGTAGAGGAGCTGCCTGAGCCCCACCTACTGCCATACTGTGCTCTGTTAAACTCCTGTGCTCAGAGTCTCCAGCTGCAGCTGCAGGCCCCCAGTGGGAACACAGTTCCAGCTCGGGGTGGCCTTCCTATCACCCAGCTCTTCAGAATCCTCAATCCTAACAAGGTGAGCTTCAGGAGTCCCCCCAAGACAAGACCCAGGGATAGGAGAAGTCATGGGTGCTAACCCTGGTCCCCGCTCTCCTATTCCTAGGCCCCCCTGCGGCTAAAGCTGCGCCTCACCTACAACCACTTTCACCAGTCAGTGCAGGAGATCTTTGAGGTGAACAACTTGCCTGTGGAATCATGGCAGTAACTGTCTCCATCACAGCCTGAAATTCTCCTGTGTCCCAAACCCCAGGGGGCCCCAGCCGCTTGAAACCTACACCTGAGGGCTACCAGCAGGTGGCACTCTGGCTTTGCACTGCAAAAACTGGGGACCAGCCCCCTTCTCCCACAAATAAAGCCCAATAAAGCCTGAGAGGGGAGGAAAGCCATATTTGGGTATATTTGAAGTGGAAAATGTGTATGAATAACAGCAAGGGAAAAGCATTCTTACATAAGAGGTATGCATCTTCCCCTGAACCTTGAGAACCTGTCTCAACACAGGGGCGGGGATGGGGCGGCTGCTGGTTCTTTCTAACCCTCTTCAGGTCAGGGAACAAATTTGCCCCAAACTTCTACAGGCGGTACTCTACCCTCTGGGCCAGAGCTGGGCACAGTGGCAAAATCAGATTAGAATTTAGAGTTCTAACTGGGATTCCCAACCATTTCCTCAACTTGCTTCTATTTCCCACACCCCAAGGCAGGGAAATCCCTGCTGCCTCCCCTCATCTTCTAACTCAGCTGTAAGGCGGTTTAGGAGCTGCTGGCAGAATCAATGGCATCGACCAAGGGAGGGGGGTGGCAAGGGATTTTCCTGTGCTTAACTACTGATCACGGCTAAGTGGAAATCCTATAAACACGAGCGGAAATCAATGGAGGCTGCTTAGCGGCCAGGGGAGAGGGGCGGCCCACAGATTGCATCTGACGGATGAGGGAAGCAGCAGCAGCCAGGGAGGGCTCAAGGAAGAGTAGCTTAGAGTAGGGGGAAGAAACAGGCAGAGCTAGAGAGAGAGGAGTCACTGTCAGAAGGGACACCGAGGGGAGAGGTACAGTGGGCCAGGAGTGGACTCCATTAGACCCAGAGTTCCCTTCCCATTCTGGGAAGTGACACCCCTAGCCCAGGCAGTTAGGATCTTCAGTCCCCTGTGGCCTCTGCTTGGAGCTGTTCACTTCTAGCAGGCGCTGATAGTCTTGAGGCCGGAAACGCTGTAGGTACACGATCAGCTTGGCTGGTGCTGTCTCCTGTGCAGGCACACCTACAGGTAAAAGGACAACAAGGAGAGAAATGGACAGAGCCACAAGCACTTTGACTGTGCTCCCTGCCCACCTAGCCAGGACCCCATGGATGTTTCCAAAGCCACACTGGGGTTCTGAATGTCATCCACCCAGCTTCTATAACACACTAGTCCACTCCTTGCCTGCTTGTGGAACTGGGACCTAAAAGAGCAACTTCAGGCAAGAGTGGGACTAGAAGCCACACTTGAGCCTCTCCTCCAGCAAGGAGAAATGGCGAAGAGGCACCCAGGCACCAAGAAGACGAAGGATACCTCAACATCAGCTCATTTCAGTTATTACCCTGTCCCACAATCAAGATTAAAGCCCATCACAGGGCATAGGGGCTGACATCTGTAATCCCAGCACTTTGGGAGGCCGAGACGGGCAGATCACGAGGTCAGGAGATCGAGACCATCCTGGCTAATGTGATGAAACCCTGTCTCTACTAAAAATACAAAAACTTAGCCGGGTGTGTTGGTGAGCACGTGTAGTCCCAGCTACTCGGGAGGCTGAGGCAGGAGAATGGCGTGAACCAGGGAGGAGGAGCTTGCAGTGAACTGAGATCGCACCACTGCACTCCAGCCTGGGGGACAGAGCGAGGCTCTGTCTCGAAAAAAAAAAAAAGATTAAAGCCCATCTAGACCAGGCCAAAGCTCATAAGCTTAGTAATGAAGCACATGCAGAGATGTACAAATAGAAACCAAGAGCTATAGAAAAAAGAGGAGGGAAGCTATAGCCATGGGGTGGGATTCACATAGAGTTCTCACCTCTACATCGTAAGGTGAGAACGGAATTGCCTATTGCTGGTGTCTGTTGTCAGTGCCTGACAGTGTGCTGGGCACATAGCAAGGAACTCAGTGTATGTTTGCTGTGGGGGCTCAAACAGCACTGCAGGGCTGTAAGGCCCCATGGGGTGCAAAATTCCACACTAGTGTGAATGAACTGTCTACAAGGGAATTATGCTTGGGAACAAATCTACCAAATCATGCCCCACTGTCTCACATAACTATAATGTTATTGCCCTTTACGAAAAGCTGAAAGAACAAATTAAAAGGATCTAGGTAACTGTAAAACAAAAGGACAGAAGATTGGTTGGACTCTTGGTGTAGTGGGCAGTGCATCAGTCTCATGATCGGAAGATCCTGAGTCTGAGCCTCCCAGAGGGCAGCTTTTGTAAAAAGGCTTTTTACTCCTCCTTGTGGAGGAGTGGTGACTGAAGAAGAAAAAAAAAAAAGACTGGGGGAAGGAAGAGTCAAAGCAGGGAACTGAGAAATGAAACTGAAGGAGATCTGGCTATAGGTATGAGAACTAAATGAGACAGGTTGGCTGGAATTAGACACATGGAAGGACTAAATCCAAATTAGCTACTGTTAAAGAGAAAATGAGATTTCACAGAACTGTAAGCAAACTTACAAAACTGCTAAAACAATTCCCATTACAAAAATAATCCAGGCCAGGCACAGAGGCTCACACTTGTAATCCCAGCACTTTGGAAGGCTGAGGCAGGCAAATTGCTTAAGGAGTTCCAGATCAGCCTGGGCAATATGACAAAACCTCGTCTCTATTTTAAAAAAAATTTTTTAATTCAGAGGCCCTCCCCCACTACATGGTCCAGTGGGTGCCTCCAAGAGAGAGAAGTGGGGAGCAGGAAAAGCACAAAAGGGCCTGTCTCTCTCACCAAGCATGCTGCTGAGCCTGTGGATCTTCTCTAGGGCAGCTGGTACTTCAGCCTCCTCATGTACCAGGGCCTCTACCTCACCCACAGCATAGCCAAAGTCGGCTGTATCCAAGTCCACCCTGAGCTGTGGCTCCTCTTCATCAGTTCCCAAGAGTACCAGTTTCCAGGCACTCCGCTTAGTCACAAAACTAGCTACTTCCTGCAGCCCCAATGGGCCCAGGACAGCAGCCACATCTCCAGCCCCCAGGCCGTCAGCCCCCAGCACCTTACAGAGCTGGGCCACAATTGTAGGTTCCGCTGTGAGTTCCTTATACTCGGTGTGGTGTCCTAAGACACCTGCTGCTCCAGGACATTTGAGCTCCCATCCACTATCCTCTCGTCGTCGCAGCCAGTGGTCAGCCTGCATGAGGCTCAGCTCAGGGGTGTCATAGTAGGTGTCTCGGAAGGTGACCCGGTGCTCCAGGGTGCCCCCCAACTCCTGCAGCCGCTCCTCTGTGCCAGGCCCTGGAAGGAACTTTCGCTCCACCTCTATCAAGCCCTGGGCCATGCTACCTGCAATTGGTTGAACAAACGTTTGCTGAGTTCCCAAGGATGCAAAGCCTCATGCTCAGCTCCTGGGGCGTCAACTCAGTACAGACCCCCTCCCTGGAAGAACTCATGAGGGGCACACTGTGTCGCAATAGTCTCTAGGGCTACTGCCCTTTTCTCTACCTCGGTGATATTAAGGCCCCGTCGGTCGTATTTTAACGTTCTGACAGTGACAGGTCTCCAGTAAAATCCCTTCCACTGCTGCTGATGTCCTCAATCCAAAGAGCCCCCTAGAAAGCAGGCTGGGTAGCGGGTATCCTTTCAACGCCCCCCTCTCTACACCCTCCCACCCCAGGAGGCTAGTGGCTCGCGACCCGGGATGACCTGCCCTTTCCTGCTACACTACGGGCCAGCGGAACCTCAGGTCTCACCTCAAAGCCCGAGAGTCTCCTCGCGGGACCCAGAGAGGGGGAAGGGAGCTCACGCCATACACCCGCGAGGAATGCTGGGAGCAGTTCCTGATCCCGGACCTCGTCCCGACCCTCCGCGGGCCCGGCAGGTCCCGGCACCAGCGGCCATATTAAGTCCGTTGTGGCGGTGCCGAGAGCAGGCCAGGGCTCGAGAGACACGCTATGTAATGGGAGGCCGCGACCCCGCGGTGGCCAGGGGAGCGAGGCCGCCCCCTGGCGCTCTGCTCCTCATTGTCTGCCCCGCACGGCTCCCGGGGGTTGGTACAGGTCTCAGACCAGAGGCTGAGCCAGGCACCGTGGGGCGCGGATGCATGATGGGAGATGTAGTTCCAAAGGGAGACTTTGCCCTCTCGCCCCGTCCGTCGCTATGGTGACAGGAAAGCTGCAATTGGTGCTTGCAGTACTCTACCTAAAGCTGAACTGGGGCTACAGGGCGGCGGGGAGAGTCGAGTGCAAGGAGCTCAAGCCCCAGTCCCATCTCCAACACCCACCCGCCCCACCCCCAACGCAGGCAGATGGGCCTGGAATACAAGCCATTCACACTGTCCAGCAGATATCTGCTATAGCAGCCAGTTAAGTGCAGGCCAGTGGCAATGGTGGCGGGTGGCGGGTGGCGGGGGGTGGGGGTGGTGGGGGTGGGGGGAAGGAAGGGAGCAGGGGCAGCGCGTAATAAAGTCCAGTTTAGCTACTCTGGAGTTTTAGAGGGGATCTAATACCTCCTGGCATGAACGTTCAGGGTAGGAGTGGGTGAGAAACTTTCTGTCAGAGAATAAAGTGATATTTGGCCAGGAACTAAAGATATGATGCAATTTCAACAGTTGGAGACCTGGATGGAGACAGGATTAGCCTAAGCAAAGGCCCAGAAACTGGAGAGCACCTGGGTGGTATGTAAGTAGAAGACGAGGCTAGAAATGCAGTTGAAGAAAAAGCCTTGAGTGCTAGACTGAGGAGTTTGTGTCAGTTTCCAGAGGTCCCCAAGCAGTTTTTGTCAGGTGTGGAACTACTTATGTTCATTTAGAATACAGAAAGGCCGGTGCGGTTGCTCACACCTGCAATCTCAGCACTTTGGGAAGCCGAGGCCGGTGAATCACCAGAGGTAAGGAGTTTGAGACCAGCCTGGCCAACATGGAGAAACCCCCATCTCTACTAGAAATGCAAAAATGAGCCAGGCATGGTGGCGCATGCCTGTGTTCCCAGCTACTCCAGAGGCTGAGGCATGAGAATTCCTTGAACCAGGGAGGCCGAGGTTGCAGTGAGCTGAGATGGCGCCACCAGCCTGGGCGACAGAATGAGACTCCATCTCTCCCCCAAAAAATAAAATTCAGGAAAACATGGGGTTGACCCTTTGAATGCTTTGGGAGACAAAATATTAATAGAGACGATTCCTTCTTACCCCCTCTGAGGATTATGGTTATCTGGAGACTCTAACTATATGTCTGACCTTCCATGTGAGGAAGCTCCCTGAGGAACTGTGGCTCTTAACTCCTGGACTCCTTCCTATGATGGGTGAGAAGTGCCATGTTCTCAACACCTGCCCTCTCACCAGTATATTTTTGGAAACACATGACCAGTGAGAGGTATTATAAGGAGAAGGACACTGGTTTAAAGACATGGCATTTTGGCCAAGTGCGTTGGCTCACACCTGTAATCCTACCGCTTTGGGAGGTCAAGGCAGGAGGATCACTTGAGGCCAGGAGTTTGAGACCAGCCTGGGCAACATAGCAAGACCCTGTTTCTAAAAAAAAAAAAAAAATTTTTTTTTTTTAGTTAGCTGTGTGTGGTAGCGCATGCCTGTGGTCCCAGCTGCTCAGGAGGTTGAAGCAGGGGGATAGCTTGAGCCCAGGAGGTCAAGGGCAGTGAGCTATGATCCTGCTACTGCCTGTACTCGGCAACAGAGCAAGACCCTGTATAAAAATAAATAAACAAATGGCATCTTGAACTTGGGATAGCTTGGGTGAACCCCTGGCCCCACTCCATGTTAAGCACCATTGGTTAGGGAGGGAAGCAACCCCAGCTCCTAGGGCCTGCTTTTCATCCATCTTTTGCTTTCCAGTTTTTTTAACCTGGGATGAAGACCTAATTTTTCCTGTGTTACAAGGTCCAATCCAGTGGAGTAAAAGCTGCAGCTTATTTGAACAGAAAGATCAGTTTCCGGAGCCAGACCTGGGGTTGACTCCCAGCTTTACTTTCTAGATGTTTGGCCATCGGCAAGCTACTCCACTTCCCTAAGCATCTGCTTTTTCTTTTTTTTTTTTTTTGAGACTGAGTCTCACTCTGGCATCTCAGCTCACTGCAACCTCTGCCTCCCAGGTTCAAGTGGTTCTCCTGCCTCAGCCTCCTGAGTAGTTGGGACTACAGGCACATGCCATCACACCTGCCTAATTTTTGTTTTTTATTTGTTTGTTTTTGTTTTTGAGATGGAGTTTCATTCTTGTTGCCCAGGCTGGAGTGCAATGGTGTGATCTTGGTGCACCGCAACCTCTGCCTCCCGGATTCAAGGAATTATTCTATGTCAGCCTCCCAAATAGCTGGGATTACAGGTGCATGCCACCATGCCCAGATAATTTTGTATTTTTAGTAGAGACAGGGTTTCTCCATATTGGTCAGGCTGGTCTTGAACTCCTGACCTCAGGTGATCCACCCGCCTTGGCCTCCCAAAGTGCTGGGATTACAGGTGTGAGCCACCACACCCAGCCAGCCTCTGCTTTTTCGTTGAGAAAATGTGGTCTGCCTCACAGTTACCTATGAGGATTCAGTCATAAACTGTTACATAGTATAAACTCAAAATGTTCATTTCTTTCTCATTTTTGTCATGTGAAATTCAGGGTTTTGTTGTGTTGCTTAAGAGAAGTAGGCTATAGCAGTTAGTGTGGGCTCTGGACCCAGACCATGGAGGTTTTTGAATCCTGGTGCTGTCACTTACTTATTGGACCTTGGGCCTGTTAATTCACTTATTTGTGCCTTAGTTTCCTCAACTGTAAAATGGGACTATAATAGTATCTACCTCATGGGATTGAGAGGACTAGACAATATATGTAAAAGTGCTTGAAACTGTCCCTGTGCATTCAAGAAATCTTAGAAATTATTGTTATTAGAATACGGGAGCGGCCAGGCAAGGTGGCTCACGCCTATAATCCCAGCACTTTGGGAGGCTGAGGCTGGTGGATCACCTGAGGTCAGGAGTTCCAGACCAGCCTGGCTAAGATGGTGAAACCCCCATCTCTACTAAAAATACAAAATTAGCAGGGCATGGTGACGGGCACCTATATAATCCCAGCTACTTGGGAGGCTGAGGCAGGAGAATCACTTGAACCTGGAAGGCGAAGGTTGCAGTGAGCTGGGATCGTGCCACTGCACTGCAGCCTGGGCGACAGAGTGACTCTGTCTCAAAAAACAACAACAAAAAACAGGCCGGACGCAGCGGTGGCTCACACCTGTAATCCCAGCACTTTGGGAGGCCGAGGCAGGCGGATCACAAGGTCAGGAGTTGGAGACCAGCCTGACCAACATGGTGAAACCCCGTCTCTACTAAAAATACAAAAATTAGCTGGGTGTGGTGGTGCGTGCCTGTAATCCCAGCTACTTAGGAGGCTGAGGCAGGAGAATCGCTTGAACCCGGTGGTGGAGGTTGCAGTGAGCCGAGATCGCGCCACTGCACTCCAACCTGGGCGACTGAGCGAGACTCCATCTCAACAACAACAAAAAAATAAAAAATAAAAAAAATTGCAGGAACACTTAATGAGCTGATAAACTGAAGATGAGGAGGAGGAGCCCAAACCTCCCACTACCCAGCTCAGGGGACTATGTAACCGCGTGGAGGAGGCAGAAGCTCTCAGAGACTAAAGAGGAATTGCTGCGGTAGAAGAGGTTCCAGTACCCAATAGGAGAGGGGGGGAATAATAAGGAAGAAGGGAATGAAAAAAAGGAGGCCTTGGGCGGCTCAGGGTTCTGTAGCTGATTTAAAACAAAACAACAAAACACATGTATGGTTTCTGCAGACCGCAGGATGAAGAGGAGAGGAGACGGAAAAGAGTTTAAAGGGGCCTGCCCTCTTTGCAAGCACCGGCTTGAACTTGGAGCCAGAGTCTAGGAGGCGACCTGGTGGGCTGGCTGGCCTGCCCCCCGGCCCTGGGTCCCGCGAGGCGGGCGGGCGCGAACAGACTACAACTCCCGGCATGCGCCGCGGCGGGCGGGTCGCTGCACCTGCTCAGTGGGGCCGCCCCGGGCGCCTGGGTATTGATTATTCCATTGTGTGGGACGCCTCGACTCCAGCCAGTGAATGAGGCGGAGGAGTGAGGGCGAGGAGGAGGAGGAGGGCGAGGAGGAGGAGGAGGAGGAGGAGGAGGAGGAGGAGGCAGGGAGCGAGCGAGTGCCCAGGGTGAATCAATGGAAACCCCCTCACGAAGCCGGGGAAACACTTCAGCCGCAGCCAAATAGCATTGATTATTTTCCTTCACTTCCCTCACCGCCGTGAATTTATTTATTTATTTTTTCCATCTCCGTCCCCGACGCCCCGGAGCGAGCGCTGGAGGGAGGGAGGAGGAGGGGAAAAAA